AGAGTGGAGAAACAAACAATGTGTATTCAATACCAAATTGGAACTCATCAACCATTACTTAAGTGGAAGTAATTCTCAATGAAAATCAAGTGAGGGAGGGGGGATGAGGGGATGGGTAAATTCACACTTATTGGGTATGCTACCTGAGTAAAGGGCACACTTTATAACTTTGACTCAATCTGTACAAAAACAAAGTATGTAAACAAAACATGTGTACCCCCTAATAGTCTGAAAAAAAAATGTTGGGCAGAAAGCCTTTCACCATGGAAGAAGTGAATAACAGTGGGGTTGCTAGCATACACGGAGATGGAAAGGACAAAAAGCAAACAATTGTTGCAGTTATAGATCATGTCTGTTCTCAGTGGAGATCATACAGGGACATTATGTAGTGGTCATTAACTTGTCATAATGTGAGAGGACTATAGACCCAAACAAAAGACAGGAAGACAAGACGGCCCGTAAAGGAAGGAAGCACAGGCAAACCAAACCAAACAAGACAGGGTGGTGTCTGCTTTGGGGCCATGAAACAGGGCATCTTTCCACTTGCACAGTTTTACTTCCCTGGTTTAGGAAAAATGGGGGTGAGTGGGGTAGAGGAAAGAGGTGGAAAAATTGGAAGATTTTTGATGTTAACTTTTTGTATAAGAGAATAATCACCATATTCTCCAGCCACATATAAATTCAGTGAAAAGTGAGTTCAAAGAACACTAGTCAGGCCTGGGTGGTATATTTGTTCTACTTTGTCCTACACTTCGGTCATTACTATGTTCTTTCCTCTATTTCTAGGTGCAGAGGTAAATGCTTCTCCTCTTTGGAATCTGGCCCACGTGAAAATGGAGCCTCAAGAGAGTGAAGAAGGCAATGTCTCTGGGCATGGTGTGCTGGGCAGTGATGTCTTCGAGGAGCCCATGTCAGGCATGAGTGAAGCTGGGATCCCTCAGAGCCCTGATGAGTCAGACAGCAGCTATGGTTCTCACTCCACTGATAGCCTCATGGGGTCCTCACCTGTTTTCAACCAGCGCTGCAAGAAGAGGATGAGGAAGATATAAAAAGAAAAAAAGGAGATTTCCTATCTAGAACTACTACAGAAAAGCTTGATGTATTAGAATTTGTTTCCATAAGCAGTGATTTAATTCTTATTCCTCATACAGGGGGCTTTCCTAATTTCAAAGGAACTGGATTTAACTAAACAAGGTTGCATTTTACTTTTGCAGCCAATTTTTATAATTTTTCACAACAACCAAGCCACTGTTCACAGGTGAAATATGCTGGTGTAGTAATCAGAAGACCAAAGGACCATCCCTGACTATTGTCTTTTCTGTGACTAAACGTGTTCCTTAGCTTCTGTATAGCCATTTCTCTTGCACACCTGAGAAGAATCATACCTCTTTGACCTCTGTTATAGAGAAGATTGAGGTGTTTGTTGTACTTCAAAACTGTATTTGAAAAGACAAGTAAATATATGCATATATGCCAATTATCAGATGTCAGTTTTTTCATTTAACTTGATTCATTTTTGGTTCACATCACTGGGAATCTAGTACTAATACCTAATAGGAAATAGCTAAACACAATTGAGCTTATCTGTCAGTCATCTTTAAACTCCTTTTGCTGCTTATGAAGTCTCCTAAAATCAGAGACTGGTGGTGACCGTAGCCTTCCTGCTTATTCAGACAGCCCCCTCCTATATCTCATTCACAGATTTTTTTCTTTTGTAGACTTATTCCACATATCCAACCCTTTTTGCTTTTTGTTATTTCTGCTGATTCAGGCTTTAAATATTTTCACTGTATAAACTTTTTCAGTTGTTTCTTCCATTTTCTTCTTTGGGAATGAAGCAACCAGGTCCTGTCCAAAGATAGGCTGGTGCTTATTTCATTTGCTGCATGTTTGGTCATCAGAGGATGGGGGTTCATTCCTCTGGCAGAGTTCTATATTGCTTCTGCTATGTATTTTTTACAAAGGATAACAATACACACCTTTCAACTTTATGACATGTCCAAGCATTACTGTTGTTACTCATCCATCCCCCTATCACCTGCCTTGCTTGGCATCCATAGTCTCTATCAGTATTTATTGAGTAAATGATGTAGCACTATAGCTATCAGGAGTAATTAGCAAATGTGTGCTCCATGGCTTGGTAATGGATGCTGCCAACATGCTAAGCTGCTGAAGTTTGGTTTTCTGATGCACAATACAAGTCTCATAAAATTTAGATGACTAATAGAAAGCAAAAATAAGGTACAACTTTATATTATTGAGTGCCTTAAGTGCATTGAGAATAAAGACAAACATGATAGTAAAATGAGATTATTTAACCGTTAACATAATTTGTAATTGTGAAGGCTTAGCACACTTATCACAACCCTTCCTGTTCCAGTCTTAGCTTCATTTCCCCTTGTTTGTTAATGAAAGTGACCACCTGGGTATTTAATTCATTCGTTTAGCAAATACTTATTGAGTACCATTATTTTCTAGGTCCTGTGCAAAGGATACAAAGATGACGAAGACTTAGTCCTTGCCCTTATGGAGCTTGCAGCATAGCGGAGACAAGTTATTTTTTATTTTTTTTT